TTAAAATCATTTTCTTAATTCATATTTTTTCTCATGAAATGAATTATGGTTATGTATTTTTTTATATTATTATCTTTTCTAAGTATTTTTCTCCGTGCAAATGCACGGGTTCAGCACTAGAATGACTTATATTATTATCATTTCCTTCACATTATGTCACTTCCAAATTGCTTATTATAATTATTAATAAAATAATTATGATAATTATTCCCCGTAATTGGAAAATCCCCATCAGCAAAAGAATGACTTATAACAGTTGTTTATTCATATTTATTTTGCAAAAATTAATCCCAAAGATCAGACACATAAATTCGAATTATTTATATTAATTAAAATAAATTAATACTTAGCTAAATTATGATGGCCAGATAAATTTGTTTATAATCCCAATACTAACTCCTTCAAAACATGGATGAATTTCAATATATTCTTATTTTATGGAAAAACAAAACTGACGGTGTTTATAAATTCTTCCATGTACAAGTTCAAAAATTTCAAGGATTTAAATAGTCCCAAGTTTGTTTTTTTCTTCTTAAAAAGGAGGATCTAAACTGGTTCCCCAATTCCCCTCCGAGTGACTCGAACTCGGGACATGGTACACGCCAAGTGAGGGTACAATAGTCCCAAGTTTGTTAACCCAACTATGCTTATAGGTACTGTTTAATTTTTTGTCTTTATAAATAGCTATTACATTTTCCTTTGTTGTTTTAATTATATCAATCAATTATTTTTTTATTATTATTGTTGTTATTATTATTATTTTGAAGATATAACCGTTAGAATAGTCATGTACCAAAATGTGCAAACTACTATCTTCAAAAGGTGTTGACAAGAGATTTGTTGACCAAAATTGTATGTGGCACGATCTAGAGTCATCAGTCGGAGGAGTTTGGAGATAATAATTTGTGTTGATGGAGATTGTGACGATAGAAAAACCACGAACGTTGTATATAAAGAAATATTTAATAATATTTAGATATTATTTCTTATTTTGTTTCAATGATTATGTTATTATTTTTATATTTGTTTTTTTTACTTTATTCTCTTCTATCATATAACTTTTCGTGCAAATGCACGGACCAAAAACTAGTTAGATATATTTTTAATGTATCTAACCGTTGATATTGCACAACAGATGCCTGTTGTTTAAAGACTCACCGTAGGGACCCCGATCCCTTTTACAGAAAGGGCGAGCACAAGTTTGGATAATTTCTTTTCTGGCCCTCCAACTTGTGTGATTTTATAATATTATTGAACTTCTATTTGTTCCTCAATAAAATGGTAAATAATAGAAAAAATCATTATATTCCAATGTATACATTGAAATTCTTATAGCGAAAGAATTAAATATAACCAAGCGAAAGGTAGTACTGATTATTTAGCAATTTATTACATGAAATCAATTGTTTTAATTATTTGAAAAGTAAATATCTACTTGCACAAAATTGATTTATGACTTGTTCTTGCAAGTGAATATTGTGAATTGAATTAAATCAACCAATATCTTAGCCCCCTAAACTCATCAATCGATACATTGATCTAAAAATATGCTCTACTCAATAATATAACCAGCTTTCACTCAACTATTTTCTCTAATAATTGATGTTGAGCAATTGAGGAGATAAAATGATTGATCACTTGTCTTCTTTAACGGAGTTGAGTTCGAGTTCATGAGCAAAGTCGAGTTCACGAGCGGTTCGTTTCGTTTAATACCTCTGTTACACAATGTGTGTTTTGTATTACAACGGGAACCTATGAACTGACTGAAGTGTTCAGTTCGTACAAAAGAACTAAAAACAAAAAATGAAATTACAACTTGAACGCGGAGAGATTTGAGCCGAGGCGATTGAAATCTATCCGCAAGACAAATACGCCCCGTGTAGTGCTGACGGGTCAGTGCGTAATGTCCCCAAAGATACAACGGCTTTAACACTCGGAAGCTGTAGCACACCAGCCTTCAGAGTCCAGTCGAACAAGAATGAAGTCGAGAACCGAGAACTATGATATGATGCGTGAGGCTTTTGACAGTATCAGATTGCATGAAAATGATGTGTATCTTCTCTGCAACTCAATGTCCTATTTATAGGACTTCCACCTCTGAGGGAGAACCAAGGGTTACACCAGCCACTTAAGGCT